TAGGCCGCCACACATGCGCCGGTCTCGAAGTAGGCGCTCTCCGGCAGGCGCATGTGATTCAGGCGCGTGCGGTCGCGAATGAGAGACAGGCGCCTGCCCATACACATCAGTTCAGCGGCGCCAAAAGGGCAGAAACAGGTCAGTAATAGGAGAGAACTTATGGTTTGAGTAATTGTGACCAGGAGCAACGAATCCAATCCCCAAAACACTGACCTGTCCATCTGCTTCACACGCCGCTTCTTCATCTTGCGCACGACAGCCACAATGTGGCTCATGATGCCTAGGTCCGCCTGGTGCATGATGTCAGGCATCAGCACGAGGTAGGGATTGCCCCACGCGGTCCCTGGGACATCCCACTTCCAGAGCACGCACTGGAAATGGGGATGTGGTGGGGAATGGAGGAGAGATGTACGTGAGAGTGGCTAGGTAATCTAAACCACAAGTCGGGTGAGTTCAATGGGGCAGAGCACATCTGGCAATTCATGACGGGGCGGGCGAGAGCATAGACTACTCATGGGCCGGGGAAACAGGTCACTCACCTCAACAGGGTAGGTAGAGTAGGCCTTGCACGTGTTGTCCTGGCTAGTTGTCGTCCCCGCCGCCTCATTAACGATCCATTGCTGCTGTTCAGGCGTGCGCGGCGTGTTCCGTGCCTTGACAGCACTCAGATGCTCCTGTTGTAGCACGGGGCCGAGGGATGGGATAGAAAAGGCAAGGGTGGTAGCTATGTGGGTTCGCTCAGGCGAGCCACAAACGGGAATGTAATTGAATGCGTGCAGATGGCATGTGACCTCACCTTTGCAGCATAGCAGATGCTGCACGGCATCCGCGATCCATGCGAGAGTGTGCAACTGATTTTGCCGCTCTCGGGGTAGTCGCACACCCAGGCGTACAGCAGGGGCCGCACGGTTTGCCAATCTCCGAAAGGGTCCCTGAGACAGAACCCGCTGCAAGGAATGGAGTGAGTGGCAACAGGCATTGAAGGTTGCGGCTTTTAGGGAGGAACGACGAGGGGCAAAGGGCCATGCTACATACAGAGAGGGTTTGCATACCATGCAGGTGGTGAGATGATGTCTTAGCAAGATGCAAACCGAGTACGGACCTGGCGATGCCATCAAGAAGCGGCTGCAGCACGGTGATGACGCAACGCTGGAAGAGCATCACCTTCTCCACGGCAGACATTGCAGATGGGGGGATTGGAAGGAGGGCAAGTAGTGTGTGACCGGCTTTCCCCCATCGCTTGGCCTGGGCGATGTTCGCCAGCGTCATCATGAGCGGCCACGCCTTTTTCCGGCCGTTGTTGCTCATGTGCGTCACATCCGAATATAAGATGATCCCCCCCACAACTTCGGACCAACCGAAGTGTTCCTGCAGTGCACGACAAAGCGGCAACGGACACACGGTTTAACACTCAAGATGCTCTTGAGAGATCAGTGCTGCGATGGATGCATGACTCAGGATTGGGTTTGGGGTGGCAACGTGGTCTTTCCTTACCTGAGCATCATTCCACCACGTTCCTGTTTCGGGCGTGGTATATCGACGGCCGCCTGCGTCAGGGTCCTCATCTACACGCGCCTTGAGCTTGAAGCTGGGCGCGTTGTTGGGATGTCCAAACATTTCAGCGAATGCCTGGTGTACGGTGGCGAAAGCAGGTGAGAGGAGAGGCATGGTTCATGGCGGAGAAGCAGGGTGTATGGTTAATACAAGGATAACTAAGTACATGCAAACCCTGTGTGCCTCATCATCATTTCACGGCCTTGAATGCAAAGTCGGCTTACCTGGGCTGAGTTCTGGAAGAGCAAGCGCTGTGGTGGATGACCGTCGATCTCGAAGGTCGCCACCGACCATCCGCGATTGAGCCCTGCCAAGCGCTCCAACTCGAACCGCTCCAGATCCTTACAGTTCCGGAGCTCCGAGTTCACAAGAGGCGCAAGGCCGGGCTCTACGACTAGCTGAAGCAGGCCGTTGATGTCAACCTCGGCCATTCCCATTCCGCCATTCACGCACCGGACGAAATGCAGTAGCTTCAACGCGAGCGGATTGAGGGGCATGTCATTGCTCTGTCCGGAGATGACGGTTGGCGGCGCGGCATGACTCCCTTCGGGCCGGCTCTCAGGATGGTCAGTCGTCTCAGCCGCAGGAGCTCCATGCCGTGGTTGATGTTCATCTTCAGGAGGCCCCTCGTTCATGTCGTTGGGAGTTTCGTGAACGTGAGCATCAGGAACGCGTGGAGGTCGGCTCACACTGACGGCGTTGGATGCGTTAGACTCTGTAGGTGAGCCGGGAGCGGTTGGAGCGTCCGACAGAATGTCGTGGACGAATATCAAAGCGCGAAGACCGGCGGTCGGTGCAGATCGCGTGGGCCTCGCCACGGCGGATAGTCCTTGGCAAGGGGTCCGCCGTGACTTATGACCGCCATAAACTTGGGCGTTGGGGAACCATCTGTTGCAGAACTCGCAAACGACGCCTGGTAAAGAGCCCATCAATTACGGATCCGTTGTAGAGTCGAGACATGGCCTATGAAGCTACTCGTCGTGATGAAGCTTGTGAACGCATTAACTACCCCGTTCAAGAAGTCTGTGACAGCTACACGAGCATCGCCAATGCGCGCACTGTGGTGGGCGGCTTGTATCACTGCACGACTGGCACTTGACGCACGCGCTAATGTATATGACTGGCTAACGTTGTCGAGCCGCGTGGTCGTTACCAGGCACGATACAGACCGCCCATAGCACGGGCCGTCTTCCCTACAAGGCGTGTCGCCCCCGTTTACAGCGACCACGACGGGGCCAGGGGAGATGCACTGGATCTTAAGTTTCATGGTCGTGTGTGTGATTCGCAAGCAAGGCGAGAAGGACGTGCCTATTGAGTCAAGAACAAGTGTTTATGAACTGTGCGTGAGTCGAGGAGGATGAGCAAGAGCGGGAAGAGATCCGTTTGGATCTCTGATTGTGTCGCGAATCGATATAGCCTCAAAATCGGAATTACGTAGGTGAGCTACAAGGGCGTCAAACAAACCTGGAAATGCATATGTACAGTTACAACTTAACAAGAAACTCGTATCATTCATAAATAGTAAACATTCATATCCTTGGGACTGTTCCTGAACAATCCTTACTCGATAACGATACGGGAACTACCCGGTAACTCCATGCCGTAACGTATGATTGGTGCTTGGAGCAAATACATATATCGTGCCGCACCGTGAAGAACGAATATCCAAGAATGGATGGCTGTCGGTAACGCATCCACGCTTGTGCGTTGGGCCTGTGCCTCATACCACTCCTTCTAAGCACCTTGTGTAATGTCTGTGCAAGAATGGATGACAATCCAACACCATACCACAACGGATTCACCAAGTCGCGCAACGCGGAGGCCTGAACGATGCATCGTCGCACAGTCTAAACATGGCTGTCGATAACGCATCTACGCTTGTGCGTTGGGCCTGCGCTTCATACCACTCCTTCTAGGCACCTTGTGTAATGTCTGTGCAAGAATGGATGACAATCCAACACCAAACCACAACGGATTCACCAAGTCGCGCAACGCGGAGGCCTGAACGATGCATCGTCGCACAGTCTAAACATGGCTGTCGATAACGCATCTACGCTTGTGCGTTGGGCCTGTGCCTCATACCACTCCTTCTAAGCACCTTGTGTAATGTCTGTGCAAGAATGGATGACAATCCAACACCATACCACAACGGATTCACCAAGTCGCGCAACGCGGAGGCCTGAACGATGCATCGTCGCACAGTCTAAACATGGCTGTCGATAACGCATCTACGCTTGTGCGTTGGGCCTGCGCTTCATACCACTCCTTCTAAGCACCTTGTGTAATGTCTGTGCAAGAATGGATGACAATCCAACACCATACCACAACGGATTCACGTTTGTTATTATTGATAAGCGTGTTAGAATGACGTCCGCTGGCCCTAAACCATTGTGGCAATGCCTAAAAGTGCGCAGTACATCTTTCCTAAGTAATAATTCAAGACGGTCGTTGAGTGTGTGACGTGAGAATCACGGATTAACTTACCCCAACCCCGTACAAAACCAGTTGCAACTTAGAGTTTGATGAAATGCATTGTTACTTTGCAACCGAAAACACTGGACTTTGCAGGGATTTGACTATTTTCGCACTGTAGGTTTCACACCAGGTTACCCTTTGTTGTGATTGATGCGTTCGCAACCGTCATTGGCCGACGCATCTCAAACGATTCCTATCAGCCAAGAGGTACTTCAGCCATTCGGCGGCTGAGATCGAGCGGAAGGTGGGTTTATGCTAGGGTGGCTACACGTACACCGTCCAATGTAGCCTGATAGGGTTACATTTCTCTCTCTAGTCTCGCAACTCACCCCAACCACCCTCGTGCCCCACCCACCTGCTTCCGTCACTCCCTGGGCCAACACTTTGATGCTGCTCGTTGCCTTGACACACGCCACTCCAGATCGGCCTTAGCGCGAAGCATAGTGGCTACTATTTCAGACTTAGTTGAAGCGGCTGTTTTCGTAAACACATAACAGTGATAGACGGCCGATTATGCCTTCGTGGGATTCAGTAGCAAAACCATTTCGAAACCGGCTCAACCCTTCCGCGCGATTTGCAACTTTGCTCTTCCTACGATTACCATGACACGTGCAACACGTAACCAAGCAATGGAGGAGGAACAGGCCGGCCGCCGCGCGACAAGGGGGACGTCTAAACAAATCGATAGGGAGAGTGGTGGCGGCGCAAAAAAAATCAATGCGTCCGTCGCTCGTGGCATTGGGCCGAAAAAAGCGGCGGCAAAAAAGGTCGCGCGCGGTCAACAGGAGGCCGGCAAGAAAGCGGCAGACAAGGGGCCTAAACCAACGCCACGCAAGCGTGTTTCTACAGTGAACAAAGCTGCGGATGGTGCCTCTGCTGGAACCGAGCCCGGTCCGAGTAAAGACGGCACCACTGGCGGCAACGAAGATCCGGGGCGAGGGAGCGCGAGTCTTGCACTCCCGTCGGCGGAGATGGAGGGTTCGGCGACAGGGGGAAATCACGGAGGCGATCCTCGCGCCGAGCATGCCGCAACCAAGGAGTCCGAGGAGGCGGCAACGCAACACCATCTGACGCTGCTCCACCCGAGCGTGGTCGAAGTTTCTGCAGCCGTGCTGGATAAGGACAAGGTGGCACAGCACGAGTCGGTGGGGCTGGTCGGTGGCTCTCCTCCTTCTGGTGGACGGGGAAGGCGTAGGCAAAGGAAGAGCGATGGGGAGGAGGATGATGACACCGCCGTGCCCGGGGACCTCACCACGCGGGCGAAGAGGCGCCATACGACAGGTAGTGCTGACAACGCCGGAGGCGCGGAAGTTGACACACCGCGAGGCGCTAAGGAAGCTAGTGGCAAGGCGGGCGGTCAAGCATTGCGCCAGAAGGGCCGCCACGCAGCAAGAAAAGCATCTGGCGGAAGGAGAGGCAAGAAAGCAGCGACAGGAACGAGGCCGAAACGGGGCGATGAAGACCCCGGTGATACGGAGGAGGAGGAGGATGAGGAGGAGGATGCGGAGGGAGAGGAGGATGAAGAGGAAGCGGAGGAGCAAGACGCGGATGTTGGGGAGGATGCTAAAGATGAGAATGATGGCGGGGAGGACGAAGAGGAGGAGGAGGAGGAGGAGGAGGAGGAGGAGGAGGAGGAGGAGGAGGAGGAGGAGGAGGAGGAGGGGACGAGGAGGAGGAGCAGGGTGACGAGGAGGAGGAGGAGGAGGAGGAGGAGGAGGAGGAGGAGGAGGAGGAGGAGGAGGAGGAGGAGGAGGAGGAGGAGGAGGAGGAGGAGGAGGATGTGGCGCCAGGGAAGAGACGGGGCGGGCGTGGCGGTCGGGTGAGTGGGACAGGGAAGGAGGGGGGCTGGACTTGCCCTTCCCGAAAACGCGGGGCAGGTGACGCTGCGCGCGGCGAAGCAGCGGGCAAACCGAAGGCGCGTAAGGTGAAGGTCGAAAGTGAAGGGGTTGGTAAAAAGCAAGGGAGCCAGGGTGCAAAAGGGGATGGAGGAGGAAAGGGTGGCCGCGCCAAAGGGGTTCGAGTGGGTACCGGCAAGAAGGAACCTGCCGGTAAACGTCGCAGCGTGCGCCGAAGCACCCCGCGGAAAGGTGGCAACGAGAAGGCGCAGGCTCCCACAAAACCGAAGGGACAACAGAAAGGTGAGCATTGTGTCCAATACAACTGCCGTGACGTGTTAAACAATCTGCTAAACCGTCCCAAATAACACCCTTTATTCACATTGTTTCTCTCCTGCAGGGAAGGAGAAGGTCGACGAATCTGCCAAGCAAGGTAAACCCTCTTGTCTCAAACCAGTACAACCCTAAACCCGATCTAGATTCAAACCTTTCTGAATATGCATGCATGTCTGGCCCCGCATTGAAACCGATCGACTCTAATTTTTATTTTCCCACTCCCTCTTCATCTCAGCCCCTCGCGTTACAGGCATTGGGCCGCCCGTAAGCGTGCAACGAATGCATCTAACGAAGGCTGCCGGAAGAGCGAGTGTTACACCGCTCTCGTCCGGCACACCAAGGTTCTACACGCCATGGGCCGGCCCCAGCAAAGTCGCTGCGACGGCACCCGGCGCGCCAAGAGGAGAGGAATCCGAATCCCCTCCACCCATCACCGTCCCGCACTCCTCACTCGCCTCACCCTCAAACCCATTTCGGCAACTCCACGCTTCTCCTGTCCGGGGCAGGGCGGTCTCCCCCATCGCCGGTCCTTCGCGCGGGCATCAGGCAGGCACTTATGCCAATCCCTTCCCTGAGCTCCCCTTTTCCCGCCAGCGTGATAGTGTAAGGGCACACGGGACTGCTGCAGAAGACGTTGATACCCTTGGCTAGAGGGGGGATTCTTCACACCCTTTTCCTCCGCTCATGGGTGCCCTAGGTGAAAGTGAGGAGCACGAGCAGTTTGTTACACGGGAGGAGTTCCAGGCGCTGCGGTCTGAGATGTACGCCATGTTTGCACAGCTCGGCCTGCGTCGTGGAGTACCTGCCAGCTATGCCGGCGGGTCGGCAGCCCTGCCTATGGCTGGTACCCCGCCGCCGATGAGCGCCGTGGACAAGGCACGAGTGCTGGTGTTGCAGGAGACAAACCCATTCCCGGTATGTGGCGGGCCAAATGGGGCGGGTTGGGGTTGACGTGGCAACAAGGGCGGGGTTGGGGCTGACGTGGCGGGTTCGAAGGGAACACGGGAGCGGCGCGTGACGAGGCGACGCGTATCGGGTGGGTGGGGGGTGACGTGGCATGGGGTGGGTGGGTGTGACGTGGCAAGTGGGGCGGGTTGTTGGTGAACGTGGCGGATGCAAGTGCGTGTGACATGGCAAAAGGTGAGGGTTGGGATATGACGTGGCGGTGTGAAAGGGTGCAAGGGAGTGCCGCATGACGGAGCGAGGCGTTTCAGGTGGGTGGGGGGTGACGTGGCTCTTGGTGGGGGGGGTGACGTGGCTCTTGGTGGGGGGTGTGACGTGGCAAGTAGGGCGGGTTGTTGGCAGATGCAAAAGGGTGTGGCGTGGCAGAATGGGAGGGTTGGGGCTGTCGTGGTGGTTTGGAATGGTACACAGGAGCCGCGCGTAACGAGGCGACGCGTGAGGGGTGGGTGGGGGGTGACGTGGCATGGGGTGGGAGGGTGTGACGTGGCACGTGGGGCTGGTTGTTGGTGGACGTGGCGGATGCAGGAGGGTGTGACGTGGCACGTGGGGCTGGTTGGTGGACGTGGCGGATGCAGGAGGGTGTGACGTGGCGGAAGGTGAGGGTTGGGGATGACGTGGCGGATGCAGGTGGGTGTGACGTGGGGGAAGGTGAGGGTTGGGGATGACGTGGCACCCTACAAGGGTACACGTGAGCGGCGCATGACGAAGCGAGGCGTTTCAGGTGGGTGGGGGGTGACGTCGCTCTTGGTGGGGGTGTGACGTGGCAAGTAGGGCGGGTTGTTGGCGGATGCAAAAGGGTGTGACGTGGCAGCATGTGAGGGTTGGGGCTGACGTGGCGGTTTGGAATGGTACACAGGAGCGGCCACTGACGAGGCGACGCGTGTCAGGTGGGTGGGGGGGTGACGTGGCATGGGATGGGAGGGTGTGACGTGGCACGTGGGGCTGGTTGTTGGTGGACGTGGCGGATGCAGGAGGGTGTGATGTGGCACGTGGGGCTGGTTGGTGGACGTGGCGGATGCAGGAGGGTCTGACGTGGCAAAAGGTGAGGGTTGGGGATGACGTGGCGGATGCAGGTGGGTGTGACGTGGCAGCATGTGAGGGTTGGGGATGACGTGGCGGTTAGAAAAGGTACACGTGACAACTGCGCATGACGAAGCGAGGCGTGTCAGGTGGGTGGGGGGTGACGTGGCTTGTGGTAGGGAGGTGTGACGTGGCAGAATGGGCCGGGTTGTTGGTGGACGTGTCGGATGGCGCAGGGTGTGACGTGGCAAGTTCACACAGTGTTGCTAGTCACAATCCCATGGTCACGCGGCCACCCACATAACTGCTGGTTTCTCTCTCCCATGTCGTGTTGTATACCTTACACCACTGCGCAGAGCAAAGCCTACTTAGTGTGCTCTCAGCTCATGTTTCTGAACCCGCCGGAGAAAATACAGTACTACCCTGCACCGGAGGAAGTGTTCGAAGCGTTCTCTGTCCACTTGTCTGCAGAAGGGCTCGAGGCAATGAAGCTGCTGTGGTTGCACAATGACAAGTCAACCATGGGAGTCTTCAACCACCAGCTGTCCTCAACAAGGTCAACTATCAACTCCACCCTCAGGCCAGCAGCATACACCGGCATGGGCCTTGCTGATTACCGCCATCTCGTGGATAGCCTGCCCACTGAGCTACACCCAACGACCTGGTTCGATGACGATCAACTCCTAGCCGAGTACAGAGATGGTATGTGCAACTCGAAAACACAATATGCCCTACCATATGCCAGTTGGCAGCTACATATCACCGTGCGATGTGGCTCACCCTGACACTCATCCCCCCACTTGATTTCTCTACAAAACCCTTTCCAACCCATACCCTCCCTGCCAAAAAACAGAACAATGGGCCCTCAACTGGCACTTTGACAAGGCCACCGGGACGCCCTTCAGCAACCCCTTGTTCGCTTATGCGTTCAAGATCTCCTTCAAGAGGGGCGGGGCGGTGTTCACCAAGTTCAAGAGCCGCATGGTGGCATGGGGCCTGTTTTCGGTAAGGATGTAGATATGTGTTTGTACCCCCATGCCTCATCCCCTTAACCCCTTGCCTGTACTTCAACCCTAATCCCTGGTTGATTAGGCCTTTGCAGTTACGTAGATAGTGACGACTGCATCACCGCTTTCAGTTGCGTCATGTACCCGTAACCTACCAGAGGAGGGTTTTGTAGAGAAATCAAGTGGGGGGATGAGTGTCAGGGTGAGCCACATCGCACGGTGATATGTAGCTGCCAACTGGCATATGGTAGGGCATATTGTGTTTTCGAGTTGCACATACCATCTCTGTACTCGGCTAGGAGTTGATCGTCATCGAACCAGGTCGTTGGGTGTAGCTCAGTGGGCAGGCTATCCACGAGATGGCGGTAATCAGCAAGGCCCATGCCGGTGTATGCTGCTGGCCTGAGGGTGGAGTTGATAGTTGACCTTGTTGAGGACAGCTGGTGGTTGAAGACTCCCATGGTTGACTTGTCATTGTGCAACCACAGCAGCTTCATTGCCTCGAGCCCTTCTACAGACAAGTGGACAGAGAACGCTTCGAACACTTCCTCCGGTGCAGGGTAGTACTGTATTTTCTCCGGCGGGTTCAGAAACATGAGCTGAGAGCACACTAAGTAGGCTTTGCTCTGCGCAGTGGTGTAAGGTATACAACACGACATGGGAGAGAGAAACCAGCAGTTATGTGGGTGGCCGCGTGACCATGGGATTGTGACTAGCAACACTGTGTGAACTTGCCACGTCACACCCTGCGCCATCCGACACGTCCACCAACAACCCGGCCCATTCTGCCACGTCACACCTCCCTACCACAAGCCACGTCACCCCCCACCCACCTGACACGCCTCGCTTCGTCATGCGCAGTTGTCACGTGTACCTTTTCTAACCGCCATGTCATCCCCAACCCTCACATGCTGCCACGTCACACCCACCTGCAGCCGCCACGTCATCCCCAACCCTCACCTTTTGCCACGTCAGACCCTCCTGCATCCGCCACGTCCACCAACCAGCCCCACGTGCCACATCACACCCTCCTGCATCCGCCACGTCCACCAACAACCAGCCCCACGTGCCACGTCACACCCTCCCATCCCATGCCACGTCACCCCCCCACCCACCTGACACGCGTCGCCTCGTCAGTGGCCGCTCCTGTGTACCATTCCAAACCGCCACGTCAGCCCCAACCCTCACATGCTGCCACGTCACACCCTTTTGCATCCGCCAACAACCCGCCCTACTTGCCACGTCACACCCCCACCAAGAGCGACGTCACCCCCCACCCACCTGAAACGCCTCGCTTCGTCATGCGCCGCTCACGTGTACCCTTGTAGGGTGCCACGTCATCCCCAACCCTCACCTTCCCCCACGTCACACCCACCTGCATCCGCCACGTCATCCCCAACCCTCACCTTCCGCCACGTCACACCCTCCTGCATCCGCCACGTCCACCAACCAGCCCCACGTGCCACGTCACACCCTCCTGCATCCGCCACGTCCACCAACAACCAGCCCCACGTGCCACGTCACACCCTCCCACCCCATGCCACGTCACCCCCCATCCACCCCTCACGCGTCGCCTCGTTACGCGCGGCTCCTGTGTACCATTCCAAACCACCACGACAGCCCCAACCCTCCCATTCTGCCACGCCACACCCTTTTGCATCTGCCAACAACCCGCCCTACTTGCCACGTCACACCCCCCACCAAGAGCCACGTCACCCCCCCCACCAAGAGCCACGTCACCCCCCACCCACCTGAAACGCCTCGCTCCGTCATGCGGCACTCCCTTGCACCCTTTCACACCGCCACGTCATATCCCAACCCTCACCTTTTGCCATGTCACACGCACTTGCATCCGCCACGTTCATCAACAACCCGCCCCACTTGCCACGTCACACCCACCCACCCCATGCCACGTCACCCCCCACCCACCCGATACGCGTCGCCTCGTCACGCGCCGCTCCCGTGTTCCCTTCGAACCCGCCACGTCAGCCCCAACCCCGCCCTTGTTGCCACGTCAACCCCAACCCGCCCCATTTGGCCCGCCACATACCGGGAATGGGTTTGTCTCCTGCAACACCAGCACTCGTGCCTTGTCCACGGCGCTCATCGGCGGCGGGGTACCAGCCATAGGCAGGGCTGCCGACCCGCCGGCATAGCTGGCAGGTACTCCACGACGCAGGCCGAGCTGTGCAAACATGGCGTACATCTCAGACCGCAGCGCCTGGAACTCCTCCCGTGTAACAAACTGCTCGTGCTCCTCACTTTCACCTAGGGCACCCATGAGCGGAGGAAAAGGGTGTGAAGAATCCCCCCTCTAGCCAAGGGTATCAACGTCTTCTGCAGCAGTCCCGTGTGCCCTTACACTATCACGCTGGCGGGAAAAGGGGAGCTCAGGGAAGGGATTGGCATAAGTGCCTGCCTGATGCCCGCGCGAAGGACCGGCGATGGGGGAGACCGCCCTGCCCCGGACAGGAGAAGCGTGGAGTTGCCGAAATGGGTTTGAGGGTGAGGCGAGTGAGGAGTGCGGGACGGTGATGGGTGGAGGGGATTCGGATTCCTCTCCTCTTGGCGCGCCGGGTGCCGTCGCAGCGACTTTGCTGGGGCCGGCCCATGGCGTGTAGAACCTTGGTGTGCCGGACGAGAGCGGTGTAACACTCGCTCTTCCGGCAGCCTTCGTTAGATGCATTCGTTGCACGCTTACGGGCGGCCCAATGCCTGTAACGCGAGGGGCTGAGATGAAGAGGGAGTGGGAAAATAAAAATTAGAGTCGATCGGTTTCAATGCGGGGCCAGACATGCATGCATATTCAGAAAGGTTTGAATCTAGATCGGGTTTAGGGTTGTACTGGTTTGAGACAAGAGGGTTTACCTTGCTTGGCAGATTCGTCGACCTTCTCCTTCCCTGCAGGAGAGAAACAATGTGAATAAAGGGTGTTATTTGGGACGGTTTAGCAGATTGTTT